ATCAGATTATAAATCTTTCTTCTCTCGATTTATCTATTGATCTCTTACCTCTCTCTGCTCTACTTACAAATCTTATTATTACCTACCTAGTACTCACCCTAAGGTTACCTAACTTACCTCGACCGTACCTAGCTAGGTACTATTCACACACTCAATACGCCATACCTACTCATCCTTACACAATCATCAATATCAATATCAATATCATATACATCTTAATAACTCTACCTCGACATACAACTTCATTCTCAAAAATACTTTACAACATTTCATCAATCCACCTTCCGACTTTCAATCGTAATACTTCAAAATTAAAACGGCTTTTATCGAATCATTACCTTGAACTCGGCAGATCTATCTACAAACAGCCTTTCGTTATCCTGATCCTCGACAATAACCAGCCAACCGGGTTCCAATAATCTCTCTCCGCCATCAATATCGTACAACACACGAGCCGCATATACCTTTCGACCTTCTGCCTTTTGTCTTTCTGCCGTGTACCTGAGAGAGACCTTGACCATTTCCTGAAAGGTTTGCCAATAACTACCGAGGGCGCGCATATCAGCAAGCTCAACTTCGATACTGTTACCTAACATATTTCATCGTCGTACAACCTCCTCATTCTTAACCTTCTCCATACACACAACTTTATTCATTTCTTCATCTTATCAAAGCGACAATAAGTGTGTCGATGCAGACGATCATTTCATCAAGGATATTGCCTCTTTCGAGTTGTTGAGTCGAGGGGAGGATCTTTGAAGAAACTGAGAAGGATATCATACCTTCCTGGATGAACAATCGCAATTATGGCTTCAACAACTACTTCAACTTCATCCTTGTCGTCAAGACGACAGAAGGCAGGCGTGGGATCTTTTACTATCAATGAGCAAATTGGTAAAGGGAGCTTCGCCACGGTTTATCGGGGTACACATATGGTATGTAATGGAGTAGATGGCAGCCTTGTCATCTCATCTACTCTTTATGATGATTCTTGAGAGCTTTCAGGACCCAGATCTGATCTCTACAACTCCCGTCTCATATTCTCTCATGCTTCTAATGCTAACGCGTCTTATCACAGCCCAGTGGAAATCTCGTGGCGATAAAGTCCGTAAACCTATCCAGACTCAATAAGAAACTCAAAGATAACCTATATGTCGAAATCGAAATATTAAAAAGCCTTTACCATCCTCACATTGTTGCCCTGATTGATTGCAGAGAATCTCCTTCGCATATACATCTAATGATGGAATATTGTGAATTGGGGGACTTATCATATTTCATTAAGAAGAGGGATAGACTGGCTGATAACCCTACGCTTTATGATATGGTCAAGAAATATCCTATGCCAGTTGAAGGCGGACTCAACCAAGTTGTAGTTCGACATTTTTTCAAACAACTGTCAAGTGCTATGGAATTCTTAAGGGAACGGGACTTCGTACACAGGGACGTTAAACCACAAAATTTACTTCTAATCCCATCACCGGAATGGATCGCAAAGAGGGCAAAAGGTGGACCAGAAGCTATGAAAGCGAGCAAGGAATCCGTTGTGGCTATGGTTGGAATTAATTCACTACCGATGCTCAAATTGGCGGATTTCGGATTCGCTCGATCGTTACCATCTACCTCGCTTGCAGAGACTTTATGCGGTTCACCCCTTTACATGGCACCCGAAATTTTGCGTTACGAGAAGTATGATGCGCGAGCCGATCTCTGGTCTATTGGCACCGTTCTTTACGAAATGATGACAGGAAGACCACCCTTCAAAGCAATAAATCATGTTCAATTATTACAAAAAATTGAGAAAAACCAAGATGAAATTAGATTCCCTAGTAGGGGCATCTATAGCAGAGACTTGAAGGATATTGTGCGACGTCTCCTTAAAAAGAAACCGGAAGATCGAATAACCTTTCCAGAATACTTTGCTCACCCAGTTGTGACCGAACCAATTCCTGGCCTGGTTGGAGATGATCGACCTGAAGAAAAAGCTCCGGAAACTTCCATCGTCCGTCAGCCATCTTTGAGAGATCGTCAACGTGAAAGTCCGACTGTCAAGCACATTGATCCGGCATATGAATCATTAATTACCAGGGATATTGGGGAGCAATCTCCAAGAACTCCTAATGTAGAATCCAATCAACCTTTTGGGACACCAGGTCACAACGCTGCTCGTCCTGGGTCGAGAGATCGACCTCCTCCAATTTCTGCTGCAACTGCTCCCAATGTGGATACCCTGCCCAGACAAAGAGACCGCAAGGATCGCACGGAACCAAACTATGCTCCAATTGTAAGAACTGGGTCCAGGAAACACCGTTACGATGAGCAAGCAAATTTGCAAACCAAAACAGATATTCAGTCGAGTAATTCCATAACTGAAGCCGAGCAAGATGTTCGTGATGCTAGAGAATATGTTCTAGTGGAGAAGAAAGCTGTTGAAGTAAATGCTTTTGCTGATGAAATGGCTGCAAGTCCAAGACTTGGGCGCGCTAATTCAACGCCCAAACAATTACCCAGAAGACATACATCAATGGGGGAGCCAAATTCAACAACAGGAGCTGTAGCTGTACCACCTTCGCGCACAGTTCAAAAAGCAACAGGAAGAACCCAACCAGATACATCATCCGCGAGAAACTCATATGGTTCTTATGGTAAAATTGGTAGTAGTCCATCAACTGCTTCAGCTATAGCTAAAGCACTTCAAGGAGCAAGTGTCAGAGTGTTTGGAGTCTCCTGGTCTCCAACTCTCATTGGAAAAGGTCCATCTCCACAACAATTATACAACCCTTATCCCACGTATCCTACACCTAGTGCTGGGTTGATTGGAGACGGTCGACCTATTGATGAGGATCAAAGAGTTGTCAATATTATTGAGGACTCCGCGACTCGAAGTGATGTTGTTTATGGATTTGCTGAAGTCAAATATCGACAACTTATTCCCTTAGCACCTTCTATGAATCATGGCCTAGGAGGTCCAAATCCCGAAAGGGTGGGTGATGCCATGGATGAAGATGATGGTCTTACCGTGGAGGCTATTGTCAGTTTATCCGAAGAAGCACTTGTATTATATGTCAAGTCATTATCACTTCTTTCGAAATCTATGGATATCGCAGGAGCTTGGTGGTCACGAAAGCAACGTGGTGGAATCATTAGTGGAGGTCACACTCCAGGAAGCGATTCATCTTCAGCAGCTCAAGCGGGAAACCGTATCAACGGTGCAGTTCAGTGGGTCCGGACTCGATTCAATGAAGTCTTGGAGAAAGCAGAACTTGTTCGACTTAAATTGATCGAGGCTCAAAAACGCCTTCCTGAAGATCATCCAGGGCACCCAAACAATCGTTCAACAGCTTCAAGATTGGTTGGTGGATCTTCAACCACTGATGGTGTTGTATTGAGCTCTGGTATAACTGCTGAAAAATTGATGTACGATCGTGCTCTAGAGATGAGTCGTACAGCAGCTATCAATGAATTGGCAAATGAAGATCTCCCTGGCTGTGAAATTTCGTATACAACTGCCATTAGAATGCTCGAGGCAGTACTCGAAAATGATGAAGAACTTATTCCTCGAAAGAGATCATCAAGTCTACGGGAAGATAAGGAGAAATCCGAAGGGGGAGAAGTCAATGGTATCAATTTTGGTGATAGAAAAGATGTCTTGAAAGGTAACTCTAATTCTTGGGCTTGTGAAAGCTCAGATCTGTAACTGAAATGCTAATTCGAAAATAGTACTTCAAATGATTCGTACTCGTCTCCAAGTCCTCAAGAAGAAGATGACAGTTATTGCTAAACATCAATCAATGCCACCTCCATCATCATCTCCACGCCGAAGTTATAGTGGAGGAACTACTCCTAACATGAATAATACTCCACCGAAATAAATCATATACAGACAAGCAAGAAAGCTGGTCTTTCGATTAGTCAAATGCATTATGATACCATGGACGTAAATGCAAATGCATAGTTTGGGAGTCATTCGAGTTAAACATCTTTCCTTCTCTTTTCTCATTCATTTCAAGCTGAATTTTTTGTATGAGTTTCTAGAAATCTTTGGAATTTCTTTGTTTTTATGTGGATTTGGTTGTTCTTTCCTTTTATTTGAACTGGAGTACTTGAATTTGTGCTTCATATGGGGATTCCATTTGAAAGCAGGCATATACGACATACGCTTCGTCTCGCAACTTGCTGATGATTATGATGGAGGTTTGGAATGGTTAAGATTGGCGTTTTTTTTTACTCCACACTAGTATCGTTATTTTCAGAGACTGAGAGCTTGTGAATCACAAATTGCTCAGTGTTTTTTTTTTCCAACTCTTTTTGCAAGATTCAATGGGGTTAGGTTATGATTGGGGATGGATGAATTGAAGGTGTTCGATAGAAACAGACACGCACACGCAAATGGATGGATGGATTTAATCGGACACTCCCTCTCCTCTCTTATTGGCGTAATACACCCAAGGATTCGGTGTTTGGTTGGGACTTTGATTTTACTTGTTGGATTGAATTGGTAGTTTGGGAGGTTGTTGAGGGATTTTTTTTATTTTGAAGCTTGGCTGTGTTTAGGAGGATGAGGGAAGGGGAGCATGGGATATGCGTGCGTGCATGGATTGCATTGAATTGCATCATAATTAGTATTCGAGAAGATGTCTTCATACCATATCGCGAATTGCGGTAGTGGAGGTTGTGGATAAGAAGCTAGGAAGTTGGTCAACTCGCAAGTGAAGAGGCAGTTAAGAATGATCAGGATTTAGAATGTTGGATTTCGGGGATTGGAATGGAATAGGATAGTTTATGGTAGGATAGGATAGGATAATACAGATATATCAATCACAATATGAGTGGGTGATCCATGACTATATTGACCTATTTGTAAGTGAGTGTGTTTGTGTAAGGATGCTTGATATGATATGTGTGCGGATATGTATGTTGTTGGTGGAAAATAGGTAGTCGTGCGTAAGTACGAGGAATGAACATCACATATCTCACATGTCACATCCGACCATAAGGTTGATTATCATTCTCATATCGAGGTAATTGGATATTTTATGCTTCGATATGCTATGCTATGCTATGCCAAACTATCCTATCCCAATACCATACATACAAACTCTCCCCCTCACCCCTCCTCATCCAAAGACCTCCTCACACAGGTAGGTAGGTATACTTGCTCACAACCCACCCCATCCCAAGAATCCCAAGAATAACAAGGTGCGTTGCATCCAGCAAAAACGTCATGTTTCCGTCCATCCATCCATCAGCCAACCATCTCTTCCTTCTTCATTGCCCAAAGGAAAGTAGGAGGTAGATAGATAGATCAAAAAACAGTAGATACCCCCACCCAACAAAAAACCTCCCAAATGCCTTTGCTCTCTAGGTATGATTGCGACTTCAACTTTATAGTTCCGTAACGTCAAGCAAACCGTCATGTTTTCCACCCAATCACTTTTCCCGATACTGCATTGCATTTCATTGTATCAAAAGAATTTCAATGCTTAATCGTCAAGTAAATTGCAAAAGAAAAACAGTAGATACCTCCAAAAATCAAAACTCCTTCTTCCCAATGCCTTTAGGTATAATTGCGACTTAAAGTCAAGCAAAACGTCATGTTTTGGTCGCCCAAAACAGTAGATACCCCCAAAAAACTCCTGGTGTAATTGCAACTCATGAAAGAAGAGTCTCGCAAAACGTCATGTTTATGTATCATTTTCCCTCCCGTTCGCCGATGCCATTTTAGATCGTAGAACATCTTTGTAATGAGAAAAGAAAAAGTAAAAACAGTAGATACCCAAAAAGCTTTTGTAAAAACCCTTCTCCGAAAAACGAAACAAAACCTCTTTAAAAAAATAAATATAAAAAAATGCGTGTACTAAATGACAATTGGAGTTTTTTTAATTTTCCAATGGGATGTGGACATTCTTCTCGCCTGCAGGAATAACGGCATCTTCCTTCTCGCCTTTGAGATTTGGTAGTTCCTCAATAGATTCCTTGATGATGGCGAGAGCCTTGTGAATATCTTCCTCACTGATAACAAGAGGTGGTGCAAGACGAATGATGTTCTCGTGGGTTGGTTTGGCCTATAGATTGTTAGCCGTTTCTACTCAAACAATTTTCCATCATGAAATAGAAAAGAAAAAACTTACAAGTAAACCCTTGCTCTTCATCAACATACACAAATCCCAAGCACTGTGACCACCAGTCTTTGACTCATCAATGACAATAGCGTTCAACAAACCCTTTCCTCTAACTAACTTAATCATGGGACTGTTGAAATCTTCCAATCCCTTTCTTAAGACATGACCCAACTTTTCGGCTCTCTCAGTCAATTTTTCTTCTTCCATGATTTCCAAAGCACGAATGGAAACTGCACAACCCAATGGGTTACCTCCGTATGTGGAACCGTGAGTACCAGGTTCAATAGTAAGCATAACTTCTTTTGAACTCAACACGCAAGAGACTGGGTACATTCCACCAGAAATGGCCTTTCCGAGAGTAACCATATCTGGTTTAATACCAGACCATTCTGAGCAAAGCATACGTCCAGTTCTACCAATACCAGTTTGGATCTCATCACAGATCAAGAGGACATTGTGCTTCTTGCAAAGAGCATGAACCTTTGCAAGGTAATCATCATCTGGGACAACAACACCAGCTTCTCCTTGAATTGGTTCGACGATAAAGGCAGCAGTGTTCTTTCCGTGAGCTTCGAGAACAATTTCGAGATCAGATACATTGTTGAATCTGATTTGTCTCTTGGTAGTTGGGCATTCAGCACCGACACCTGGAACATATGGACCATAGTTATCGCGAGATTCAGGATCGACGGACATGGAAATTGCGGTCATCTATAATGTAGATGTGGCATTAGTATCATACAATAGAAATGATTCGAGCGCAGCGGGCTATGGGGGTTTGGGGGCTTGTCTCCATGAAGAAGTTTTAAATGACGCTCCGCTGGCCCTCCGGCTGCTTCAGGGAAGGTAGGCGATGGAGGTGGAGGTAGAAACTCAAGTACAGAGTGATATCAAAAGATGAGAAAAGATTTGTGCAACATACCGTTCTTCCATGAAAGTTCTCCGCCGCCGCAAAAATGAGCGCCTTATCCTTCTCAACGCCCTTGACTTTATACGCCCACTTCCTTGCAATCTTGATCGCCGTCTCTACCGCCTCAGCTCCCGTATTCATTGGCAAAACCATATCATAGCCAAAAACCTGTTTAATCTTCTCCGCCCATTTAGGGAAGACATCGTTATGGAATGCTCGTGAGGAAAGCGTTAGACGTTGAGCTTGCGCACACAGAGCCGCCACGAGCTCCGGATGACAATGGCCTTGGTTGACGGCGGAGTAGGCAGAGAGACAATCGATGTAGTGGTTTCCCTCGGGGTCCCAGACGGAGGATCCAGAGGCGCGGGCAAAAACGATGGGGAGCGGATGGTAGTTGTGAGCTGCGTAGGCGTGTTCGTCGTGGATGGCGGAGGCGGTGGAGGTGGAATGGTATTTGGATTCGGGGATGCTGGTTACGGGAGAGAAGGTGGGGGCGGTGGCTTTAAGTGTGCTACCGGTACCGTTGGTGGTGGACAGGGTGTCTGCGTGGGGAGCCATGTTTGATGGGAATGTGATTTGTGATGGAAGTATTTGGGGGTTGTGTTTTGTGGATTGGATTGTTACTATTATTTTGAGATAATGTTAGAAATTGAAAATGTGAGAGGAGATAGAATTTTGATATGTAATTGTAAGTAGTTGTAGTTGTAGTTGTAAATGTTATTTGTGGTAATGATTGTTAGGAAGTGTAGGAGGAAGTGGGATGAAGTGGGATGAATGTTTGAAAGGAAACTTGCTTGCTTGTACTTAAAAGTACACCAAAGGAATAAAACTATGAATTAAGTACCTATTTAGTACAATATTTATAACTTACTTTGTATTTATGGTATAATCTTCGCTTTATTTATAAATTGTATGTAAATTGTCGATATCAAAAGTATCAATGGTAGAACGAGTCGAGTCAAGTCAAGTCAAGTCAAGTCAAGTCAAGTCAAGTCAAGTCAAGCCAAAGCAAGGGATTCACGCCTCTTTATATACTCGAATAGATGGGCAGAAAATCATATCTATCGACTTCTCTTCCTTCATCATCAAAAACTCACTAAACCCCTAAGTGCAAGTATATCCCATCTTCCCACCCAGCTGATCTCTTCCTTGACTAACAGAAATTTCCCAAATCAAGACCATTCTGCCATTTTACTCGCGTTTCCTGTCCGTCCTGCTTATACCTGCACTTAGGGGAACAAAAGATTCCAAAACACATCCGTTGCTTTCCGTCCCTCGTCACCCCTTGCTTATAGGGTTCGAGTGAGGCGGAGATGATGATTTAGGGTGCACTTTAGTGGATACGCATCGTCTAGGTTTCTGCATGTACCTAGTCGCTCGGGGGTGAAGAGAGGATTTAGAGGGTCCAAGATTCATTTGGATCCTATCATTGGGGCTTTGATATTCTAAGCATAATCGTTCCGAATTTGATTGGATGGAATGGGGTTTGGAATGGAGGAACAAGTCTTCCAAGGAAGCATTCGTTGGAAGAGCAGGAAACATTTCTTTTTCTAACAGCGACGGTTTTGAATGATGGAGTGGTTGAGTGATTGAGTATGAGAGGTTAGATATGGTTTGAATGATATGATGATCTGCTCTGTTAGAGTGAAAGCATCTCGAGCATATACCATCAACATCGGGTGTATATGAGTGTAGTGCATACATCGTACATACAAACACATACATACATACATATAAAGGTTCCAATCAACCATAGTTTCTCAAAAGCCCAGAGATAATGATAGCGATACAGAAGATTCAATTGATTTCTTGATATAAGATTTGGTAATTCAAACGACTGGCTGGTGGCATTGGTAGCATTGGTGACATTCGACAGGAAACCTTGAAAATGATTAATTAGATGTCATTCTTGCATTCAGGCATCTAGGCATCAGCTGGTCAATGTTTGGTCGGGTAAATACCGGCAACTACTTCCACCACACAAACACGTGGGCAGCTTCTTAGGAAATTATATCGCCTAACCTTATCAAAACTAAAAACAATTTATATATCCTTCAATTGTACATGATACATACATATATTGGATATCTCAAACTTTTCTTCTTTCTTACATTCTTTCCCTCTCTTCTTATCCTTTCTTATCCTATCTTATCCTCATGAACAACTCATCGTCATGTCCAATCCAATTCCAACCTCTACTAAAGAGGTAAAATCATCTTTACCACCTACAATACCATCACCTCCTCCGCATCACCCCAACCACAACCTCTCAAATTCAGACATCCAAGAAAATGGTCTTCACGCTCTAGTAAACATTCAAACCGCAAAAGATATTTGGACATTCCTTCTAGTATTTAGAATTTTTAATTCTTTTCTCGTCAAAACTTTCTTTCAACCAGATGAGTATTTTCAAGCTTTAGAACCGGCTTGGGAATTGGCTTTTGGAGAGGGGAGTGGTGCTTGGATTACTTGGGTATGTGATCTTTCAAATTTGTTATATTTTGATTCCTTTTTTGCGCTTCTGGGCAAGGGAAGTGTGGATGGTTTATGAGAAACGAAGAGGGGAAGGGAAACTAGACTATGGTAGTGGCTTTACTGGTGGAAGTGGGGGAAGGGGGAAAGAACTGGGAAAAGTTTCCTGTTATAGTTTCTTGATATGCTATTTCCAAATATTCGGCCCCCCGGGAGGGCCAGCGGAGCGTCATATACATATCTTTGTTCATATCATTCCATATAATACCAGCTCAAATCGATTGGCTGTTTCTCCTTTATGGGGGCAAGCCCCCAAACTCCCATAGCTCGCTGCGCTCGAATAGTAGATACTAATTAGTCTAAACAGGAATGGCATTATCAATTACGATCTTCATTACATCCAACGCTTTTTGCTGCTGCGTATTATTTAATAAATAAACCTATGGAATTTGTCAATTTCTTTCCTCAATTTAGAGCTGAAGTTTTAGCTGTATTGCCAAATATTATTCAAGCTATATTTGCCGCAGCTTGTGATTATTATACTTGGAAAATGGCAGAGGAAATGTATGGATTGGGTAGTAGAACTGGCTATGTTACTGTATGTTTATATCTTGAATATTTAGAGGAATGGAAAACTAATTTTGCTCAGCTTCTCATGAGTGTATTAAGTCCCTGGAATTGGTTTTGTTCAACAAGGACTTTTTCAAACTCTTTGGAAACTAGTCTAACAATTACTGCTTTGTACTTTTGGCCTTGGGGTATGGCAATTAATTCTGGAGAGAAAATTAAAGAGGGAACGAAAGAGGCATCAACCGTGTCCATATCTAGAGGCGTTTTCAAAACAACGGAATCAGTAAACCAGTAAGATTTCTGGAGTTTCATATTTGAGATTCATCATCTAACTACAACAGTCTTCGATACTCCCTTCTTCTTGCAGGTATTGCTTGCATTCTTAGACCAACCAACCTTCTAATATGGTTTTGTGTCATAATGCCAATCATTATGTCCCTCATACCTGGAGTATTCCCCAAGACAACTAAATCGCCTATCCCACAAGATTACATTATTCTCCTTAGAGAAGCCATCTTATGTGGTTCGATCATCCTCATCATCTCAGCTATTTCCGATCGTCTCTACTTTGGAGATTGGACATTTCCACCGTATCAATGGCTTCATTTCAATATCTCTCAAAATCTAGCCGTATTTTACGGCAAAAATGATTGGCATTATTTCTTCTCCCAAGGTCTACCACTATTATTACTCACTTATCTTCCGTTCACGATTCTTTCGACATTAAAAACCTACACACCATCTACAACACCAAATCCAGAATTCACCTCCAACCTCCAAACAATATTAACACAAATCACTGGTGTGATGATCTTCGTCCTAAGCACAATCTCTCATAAAGAAGTTCGATTCATCTACCCACTTCTACCTATTCTTCTCCTCTTAACCGCACCATCAATCACATCATTTTTCACACGCGAAACTCAAATCCCCACAAGCAATCCCTCGAAATCAAAAATCGAAACCAAAACTATCCGCAAACCTCTTTTAACCATTCTCACTCTCCTCAATATAGCCCTGGCAGCTTACACAACAATAATCCACCAATCCGCCGTCATATCCGTAACTTCATTCATCCGCCACAGATACGAAGCGGAAATGCTAGATGCGCAAGGAATCCCTCTGCATTCTCCAGATGCATACACATATCTAAAACATTACCCCGTTTCATTCGATGAAAACGCACCTCCTTCGCTTAACATCAACTACGATATCAAAAAAGAAGAAAACTCCCAATATGCCCAAAAAATGATGGGGTCATCCAGAAACCCAGATTGGGATGACCAGGAAAAAGGCGACGCCGCGAAACCATTTGTGGGATTCCTCATGCCCTGTCATAGCACGCCGTGGAGAAGTCAATTGGTGTATAGGGGATTGGGCGCTTGGGCGCTAGGGTGCGATCCCCCTGTGCATTTGAAGGGTGCGGAGAGAGAGCGGTACAGAGATGAGGCGGATAGGTTTTATGATGATCCCGGGAGGTTTTTGAGGGAGGAGATGCTGGTGGATGGGGACGAGGAGGGGGAGGGAGTGGGGATGGGGGGTGCGAAGAAGATCTGGCCGAGGTATATAGTGGGGTTTGAGGGGGTGGAGAAGGTTGTTAGGGAGTTTTATGAGGGGGGTTTGGAGGGAGCGAAAGAGGGAGCGGGCAAAGGAAAGAAAATGAAGGAGATTTGGAGGGAGAGAAATACCCATTGGATTGATGATTGGAGGAGGAATGGGGATGTAGTGGTGTGGGAATTTGTATAGGGGGTTCGTGCGATGGTGTTGTTGAGGAGGGTAATGATATGAGATCACCAGTGGGTGTACGGACTTACGGGACAATACAAGACCAAACTTGTGAATATCTTTTGATGTATTGAATTATGTATTTTAGGAATTGTTATAATTCTTGAACAGAAATAAAACAAACAAAATACAAATTCTGATATCAAACAATTGAAGAATAAATTCATGAAAAACATTGAAAATTGGGAGGTGTCCCGTCAATCCATGCACCCACTCGTGGATAAAAGGTATGAGGTACAAGGAGAGATATGAGGTATCGGGAAATGAGAGTAGTAGATGTAATGATTGATTCATGATGATTGAGAGATGTTGATATTGATATTGATATATTTCATATGTTATTATTACATTCTTTTCTCAAAATCCCATCTCTCTCTTCTCTCTTCTCTCATTCTTCTCATTCTCATCCTTCTTTTCTCTCTTTCTCTCTTTCTCTTTTATCTATAGATCTCTATATCTAGGTAGATAGATAGATAATCAATTCGTCGATATGATACATATCAAATCATATCAAATCATATCAAATCATATCAAATCATATCAAATTATATCATCTAATATATATTTCATTCTCTTCTACTCTTCTATTCTTCTACTCTACTCTCATTTTCCTTTCTCTTCTCATACTCTCATTTTCCTTTCTCTTCTCATACTCTCATTTTCCTTTCTCTTCTCATACTCTCATTTTCTTATACCCGTATATCCTTTCACCCTAATTCCCTTCACCTCAACCCACCCCTCATATTCTCTACCCTCTATACATATAGGCATCTATCTCATTATCCATCCACCTATCCCTCTCAACCCCCCTTCTATCCCCGATCCCCAAATCCCAAAAGCCAAATCCCACTCACAAGAGACCATTTTTTTCTATCCCTCATTTCCTGGATTTTATCTCATTTCAGTAGATACAGTACTCGTTAATCTCTCCAAGTATTCCTATCCCTACCTCCACCCCCACCAAAGTGTAACCCCCAAGCTTAATAAAGCTAAATCCCCAACCCCTTAACACAACACCAAAGCACCACCGGCACCACCACATTATCATTGCCCCCGGTGAGAACCGCCTCAGTCAGACTCGCCACTCCCGCCGCCACAATACTTTTCCCCACTGTAACAATCCAATCATCTCCTCCCTCCATCTCTCCCTC